GAGAGCTTCTCGGTTTTTCTGGTAAGGGAACAACTAAGAAATCATCCCTTTAGCCTTAATTCAAGTTGGGTTACTCTAATTGTGTTGTGGGTTCTTGAATTTTGAGGTTTGCCGTGAGTTCCTCCATTCCTCTCCTCGTCGGCTTCCTTCCCAGCCGAACCCGGTGCTGCTCGCCGGAGTTTCCTGGTATGATGGACAGCCTTTTTTATGTCTAATTATCAATTAAGTATTGTCCATTTAGTTGCTTGTGTTGTCCGAGACTGTGCTAGAATTATGGGATGATTTTGGGTAGCATAAAACACGTTCTAAGCTTGGTTGAGGTAGAAATTTCTTGATTTAGTTGCTGTGTTGTTTATAGGGAGAAAATCCCGTGAATTAGCTAGTGTTTGGCCAATTTTGGAAGTGCAGTCACTGTTCACGGGTACTGTTCATTGTGTACTGTTCACGGGTACTGTTCACACACCGAGGGTCAATAATTAACGGGGATTTAAATGATTAGTTTGTGATATAAGAATAAATTTGGAGATGTCCGGTTATGTGGAGATTGATAGGAATAGCATTGGGATTAGGAATGATTTTAATGATGATTTCAGTTTGAAATTGTGGTAGTCCGGTATTAATTCTGAGGTATTTTGATTAGGTTCCTGATCGTTCTGTCCGTTAGCACTGAGATTGAGTGCTCGGTTTATGCAAGTGAGGTAAGTAAATTATGGTAAAGCCCTTCGATTTTAAAGCTTGTTTTAATTGTTTTTGAGATGGTGGCAAGGTTCAAATTGATTTTAAATTCATTTTATCAGCATGTGAATGTGATTAAACTGAAATGAGAGTTTTGATGATTTTTAATGAGAATTTCCTGGTTTTTCTAGAAATGAGCCTGACTGATTTGAAATAAGATTATTAATCTTTTTGTATTGATTTGAGCATGCCTACTTGGACTTTAAGTGATTGTCCTGATGATTTGCAAGCGATTGGTGAATTAAGATTTTTCTGTTAATTTCTGCCTGTTTTGTCTCCAATGTGGATATGTTATTGATGACCCAGCTTTGATGATTTGATAATTTTTGTAAATTATGATTTTCCAGTTAAACCCATGCCCACATGGAATTTTCTGGTTATTTCTGAAATTTGGGATTTCGATTGTGAATTACAGATTTCGATTGTGAATTTCGGTTTTCGATTGTGAATTATGGATTTTGATTGTGAATCCTGCATGGTTTTGTCTCTGATATGGTCATGATTTCCGATCCCCGCTAGCGGGTGTGTAGCATCCTTGATCCCCGCTAGTGGGTGTAACGCTAGCACTCCTGATCCCCGCTAGTGGGTGTAACGCTAGCACTCCTGATCCCCGCTAGTGGGTGTGTAGCATCC